ATTTGGAAAAATGCATACTGACTCCAACTAAATTCAGTATTACACAAACATTTGTGGACATTTGGACCTTTTAGAAACTCCTTTTTGAAAATAAGCGTTCAAAAAGAGTTGACTAGCTGGAAGAGAATCTTGACAGAGCAGACAGTCTAAAGAAGGGCAGAGGGAGGCTTTAACTTCTAAATTATCTCCTGCCAACAGCATGCAGGTGCTGGACTTTAATTAGCAGCACCTGCACAACACACACATGAAGATCGACCAGGCGGAAGGGGGCAGAGAAAATCATGTTATTTCACTTACATATTAAATTATATTTTTGGGCTTTTATGTTAGAGCTGTTGAGATTGCTATCCACTTTTAAAGTGACCATTGTCCTGTCATAGTTTAGTACAAGCTCAGGGTGTTGATTAAAGCACATTTTAGCACAACCATCGAGAATGCAGACATGGGAGGAGCTGCGTTTCAAATGCTTTGATGTGAATTACATCTCAAGTATGCCAATATTCAATTATCCTTTTCCGTCTAAATTATTTTGGAGTCAAAAAGCCAGACGAACTTATTGCGCTCTTGCATCCATCTGTCTTATCTCTGAGCTGCAAGAGCTCCATTTCTCCAGCATCTTCAAAGTGCGAGACGCATCATCATCATATTACACGCTAGATTCCACTCGCCTGACTCCAGACGTTCCGCTCTCAGTTGACAGGACAGGTGTGGAAGGGGAGGGGCGAGAATGAGAGAATGGAAAGCTCATTGGCTTGTTTCAGAGTTTAGTTTGCATTTCAAAATGACTGGCCAAAAAAACTAGCTTCAAAAATAACTCTAGATTTGGACGTACTCTGTAATTTTTTCTGGCTTTTACGTTTCTTGTCAGATTGTGGAGTCTGGGTGATATCTTGGTTAAAAGCCAAGACAGATGTCAATGGTGTTTTTTTGTCAGCAGCACCACACGTATGCATCGTGGTACTCTCATGAATAAGCATCGAAGACTGACACGGAAGAGAAGAAATTATTGAATTAAGTCGTTATTTTTGTTTTCTTTGTGCACAAGAAGTATTCTCGTAACTTCATAAAATTACGGTTGAACCACTGATGTCACATGGACTATTTTAATGATGTCCTTGCTATACCTTTCTGGGCCTTGAACATGTCAGTTGCATTGCTGCCTATGCAGGGTCAGAAAGCTGTTGGATTTCATCAAAAATATCTTAATTTGTGTTTTGAAGATGAACGAAGGTCTTCCGGTTTTGGAACGACATGAGGGTGAGTAATTAATGACAGAATTGTCATTTTTGTGATTTTTTGTTACGATTAACATCACTGACTGAATTGTTTTACATTTTCTGATATCTTGATTTTGATAGTACTATCATAATGTGACAGGAAATATGTATATTGCATATCATACAGATAAGACACTTTAATGCCTTCTGGCAAAAACAATTCATTTGTCATTTGGCAAGCATTTTGTAGTATTTGATTCAAGAATGCTGATAGCATCATACAATATGATAAATGTTTTTTGCAATATTGCATGGGCAAAGATGCAAAGGCTTTGTTTTGATAGGGGTGACCAAGGGTCGCTGTTTCAAGGTCATGTCAGGCAACAGTGAGCGACAGATGCAACAGATGGCAGAGCAAATACTACCTCATACTGAGCCAGAGTAGCCACCAGAGACTCATGTGGCC